TGGCTGATGAATATCAAAGTTCAATATCAACATCAAAAACCCTGAAAAACGACAATTATTTTTACATAAGCTAGTCACCGTCTCTCTCTATCTATATATATATATACATATGTATGTAAGATATGGTGAGATATGAGGAAACAGTGAGCTTTCCCTGACTCCCATGAAGACAATGACCCAACATCACCACCATCATCATCATCATTATATATCAACATCATCACCATCTCTTTTTGTTTGTCCCTTCTTTTAACCACCACTTGCTAATACGTAGTGGCTACATCCAGCTACTTCTCCCTTTTCTATAAATTACTGTTCTTCACTTATACTTTCAGCACTACCAAGTTTGGGAAAGTTCAAAAGAAGACCTAGCTAGGGTTTTCAGAAAACTCAAAAATCTGAGCTGGTGAAATCTCAATTGAGATCCAATGTAAGAGCTCTCTTTTCATCACTTTATACCATTAGTTTGACTTGCTTGAGATCTAATCCCTTATTGTTATTTTTTATTCAGGATTTAGGTTTCTTTCTTTACCTCGTTTTATGATCAGATTCTATATAGTTCTATTACCGTCTATATTAGATCTAATATTTCTTTCTTCTGCCAACAAAGAGGAAAATGAGGCTCTCTCCATATCTGGTTTTAGGGTTTTTTTTTCTTTTGTGTAGATCTTGATTCAATAATATATACATATATTTTTTAAATGATTCAGGAATTATTTGTTAGGCAGATGTTATGCAATTGTGCATGATTGAGGAATAAACTTTCTTCTAATTTCTGTAGAGTTTTTATTGTTTACCCCTAATTGAAAACAATATATTATCTCTGATTTTAGAATCAAATCTCTTGCACAAACCCTCCAGAAACCAAGGATCTCTTGAGAAGATTGAATATCTCTTGGTCCAATACTTGTAGTGGCTAAACAAAATTATGATTGTTTAATTTGGCTTTCAATATATATTTTTATTTTATCTTATCATGATCTGCAATGACTATGGTGGAATCTTTTCACACATGTATTGGACCTGTCTCCTTATGTATATATTTACTCAAGTAGTTATTATTAATGTTAAAATTAATGTGGCACTGTTCATATGCACAGGGCTTACATCACTCAAACAGTTCCATATTTTTAAAGAAAAAAACTGGAAAATAACATTAATAATGTTTGTATGAATGTGATGAACAGTTCGGCATTTGTCTCTCTCCTGGTACTAGCTTCTTCTTGACAAGACCCATCAGTGGTCTTTCTTGTACAGTAAAGCTTCCTTCGTTCTACGAAGTTAGCATCCAAAATTTGTAAGTTAATTCATATATGCATGTATATACTTACATTATTTAACATATCTGCTTCACTGCTGATAAAGTTATAAATACATGCAAATATCATTTCAAACTAAAGTACATAGGAAGCTGTCTTAGTTGGTCACATTTGTCTCTTTGTTGATGGCCATAAGCAGTAAGTACATGTGCTTGAAACTATATCCCAAGCCTGTGTTTTCTTTGTAGAATCTACCGATCCCGAACTTGCTTTTATAAGTGTGTGACTCTCTAGTATTTCAGTCGTATATCTATATGTGTGTGGAGATAAAAATAGATAGATATAGAAGGAGATTCTTTCAGTCCAGTCATGGATAGAACAAAAAGAGGGTAGAAATATCTGCCGACTCATCCATCCAAACACTAGTGGTAACAAGAGATTTTATACCACAGTGACTGTATGAATGATGCGGGAGATGTTTTTCATCTCTCTTTATCTGTGTTTGGACTGAAGGGAGCTCCTTCTTTATCTATTTGTTTTGTTTTTTTCCATGATCTTTTGATGTCAAACAATCTAGCAACTATTCCTCGCTAGTGTTATATTCAAGGGTATATTCATATACCGAAATGACGACATAATATGGGGGTAGAGAGATTGATAGATACAACTATGGGGAGATAATATGGGAACATAATATGGGGGCAGAGATTGTGTTCTTGCCTTATTCGCATTGTTTTGTATAATAAGTAACTTTTGTACTTGCAATTTTTACGTTCCCGATGACTGGAGATGGAGCAGAAATGGATGGTGTTCACAACTTAACATCGTCTCTTTCTAATTAAAGAATTCACATCGTCCTTTGCTTAAATAGCCTATATGTTTACATTCAGAGATGACATATCAAATTTTACATTTGTTTTGACTATTTCTCTTGGTTATACGAGTTAGATTTCAACATTTAATTTCATATATTGCAGACCTTAATTTGGATATTTTCTATTGTTTCAGATGTCTAGTCAGCAACAAAATAAAAATTGATACTCTATCACTGAAAAATGGCAGATGTATAAAATATAGACCTCGTGCATGATCTCGAGCTGTTATTTTAATATTATGTTTAAAGGTAAATGTGTGGTTTGTAGTAATACAGATATGGAAACGCAGCAAGTGGACATATAAGGATAAATTCAACTCATGTGACCTCCAACTAACCAAGAGAAATGCATCATTATAGCATCATTTGGTCGAATGAATTGAATATTAATACTAATTAATAAGAATATCTATGAATTAGGGTTTAGAAATTATTTTAGTTGAGGCCGGTGGTTACGGACAAAATGTTTCTCTTTTTACGTGTAGCCAACAAACATGTTTCAATTTCCCGAAACCCGTCACGTTTTAAGCTTCATGTTTATCGAGACTTTTTGTGCATGAAATAATCTCAAATTCTTTTTTTTTTTTTGTAAAAAATTATAATCTCAAATTCATTTCTTTATCTACCTTGAGATTAATTTTTTGAGAAAAGGAATTACAACCTTGAGATTTTTGTTGGCGGTACACAAGCTTTAGTTTTTGAATGGCTGAAATTGAAGACATTAACTTTTGTTTTTTTCATAAGTTAACATAAGACATTAACTTATGTTATGCATGTAGCTTTTTAAGATAATAATCCACTTTAACTATAATCTTATACAAGAAGAGTGTTACTTTTTGAAAATGCAAAATTACGATGTTTATATATCCTCCGGTGATTATCTTACTTTATATCCGCCAGTGAGATTTGGAGAAGAGTGTGTTACTTTTCGAAGATGCAAAAAAAATTTAAGACTTCCTAGATAAAATGAAATTAGTTCCTTTTACATATGTAAATCATGATGTTCCTCCTCATATGTAATAAACTGTGCCGGAAAGTCTCGACCAAGAAAAAAAAACAAGATCATGAAATACCAGAAGAATAAGTATACAAGTCGACGTTACAACAACTTGTGTTTGTTAAGATAGTCCATAAAGTATTGTTATGAGATTAGTTTTAAGTTTTAAGTTTTAACTTTAACTCAAAGTCTCAAACAGAAGCAAGGGTTGGTCCATGTCCCCTCTCTCGGAAACTGCGGAATTTGTAGCTTTCTTTTACTATCGGTGCGCATTGAACAAAGTGAGTCAGTATTGGGGTTCTCATTCCTACCGCCCAATCACTTTTTTTTCCAAATATGGATTGGTTTGACTCCAAAATCATGATCCATTTTTGGTATAACGAAATGCAAAATGAACGCTAATCACTTCAATTGTTCAAAAGTTTAGTGTAGATAAATACACATTATAGTGAGAACTTATAAACTTTTCTTTTCTGTTTATATGTGACCAATAAAATGAAGTGTTGTGGACATAAAGACTTATACTGTTATACACTGATTGCCAAGACTGAATATATACAGCATACTAGTGTTGGTAAACTGATTGTTTGTTGATGAACATGCAAGACCCAAACAGCACGAGAAACAAACTAAAAAAAATTTTGTCAAAAAAAACAAACTAAAAATTTTATTCTATAAAAAGTACACAATCTAAACAATATTTTGACAATCAATAGTTCTTGACGTTAAATAAAATATTCAGATCCGGTTTATGTTTTTATAAAAAAAATATTTACATTTTGATATAGCTATGAGATTAGTCAAGTGGGGTATCTAATTAAATATACTAGCTTTTGCCTTAATCCCAGACGGCACGACGATTCGTCCCACCAAAAATAAACGACACGCGGTGTTCTCTCGAATTCAAGAAACGGTAAACACGTGAAATCCATTTAGCTGGCGGCCCACTTAGGCCTAAAATTAGCCCATTTTTTAGTTTCTTCATCCCCAAAAAAAAGAAGCAACTTAAAACGAACAAAAACAAAATACAAACCGGAGAATTACACAGGAAGGAATCGGATCAGCAAAGCTCTGGAGCGTTGTTTCATCATCATCGAAGCTTGAAGAATCAAATTCTTGATTCATTGTAGATCTCTCGTGTTAACCGTTCGCCCTGTTTCGTTTTGAATTGGTAAATGATCCGTTATAATCTCTTTTTGATAATGTTTGAATCTACGAGTTTTCTGGCTATTGTTTGATCTGGATGTTCACTCGTATGCGATAGTGTTTGTGAATTTTCCGTTTGTACTGAGAAATGAATCTTGAATTCGATTTTTAAGGAATTAATTAATTTAGGAGCTAATTGGGGTTTGATCATAGTATAGCATTTTTTTTTGAAGCTATGATTATGAAAAGATATGTTTGATATAATGACTGTTGAGAAATTTGTATTGTTTATATGTTCTTGCTTTGCATTGTGGCTATGTGCACACGGATATGTTCAATAAGTATTTTTTGAAGCTTTTGTTTTTGATGCATTGTCTTTGCTCTGGTTTTGGTTTGGAGCTTTCTATGTTTTGGGATTGTTTTACCTTTAAAATTTATTTTATTTTTTTCAGGTTCAGTGTGTATGTGGGATTATGATCAGTCTTAAGCTTTTTTTTTGTTGCTGCATTGTAACTGCTCTGGTTTTGGTTTTGGCATGGTTTAAACTTTGAAATTTTACGATTTTTTTTCAGGTCAAGTGTTTCGGTTTTGGTGGGGTTGAGATCAGTCTAAGCTATTTCTGCTGAGCGTTTCTTGATGTCTCAAGACTCGGGTCTGATTATCTTTTCATGGTTAATGATTTTGACATGAAAGTGGTGTAGCATTTTTCAACTTGTTCAGAAAAATGAGTTCACCTGTTTCAAATCTCAAAGGAAACCTGCAACCAGGTGCTTATAATGGTAATGGCTCCCGCAGTAGCAGCACTTCTAGTTCTTTTGTGCGTCCAGAGTTAGAATCCAGTGACACCGTAGAAGCAGAGTTGGTTTCTGTGTCTTGGAATCAGGACTCCAGCTGTTTCGCTGCGGGAACTAGTCATGGTTTTCGTATATACAACTGTGAGCCTTTCAAAGAAACGTTCAGACGTGACCTGAAGAACGGAGGTTTTAAAATCGTTGAGATGCTTTTCCGAAGCAATATCTTGGCGCTTGTTGGCGGTGGACCGAACTCTCAGTACCCTTCAACCAAAGTACTGATTTGGGATGATCACCAGAGCCGCTGCATCAGTGAATTTTCGTTTAGGTCTGAGGTTCGTGCAGTGAAGTTAAGTAGGGATTGGATTGTTGTTGTTCTTGAACATAAGATATATGTCTACAGTTTCGTGGACCTAAGGCTTCTTCTTCAGATTGAAACTCATGCAAATCCAAGAGGATTGTGTTGCCTTTCTCATGGCTCAGATACATCTGTCCTTGCTTGCCCTGGTTTACATAGAGGAGAGATTCGAGTTGAACATTTTGGCCTTAACATGGTGCAAACTATAAATGCACATGACGCCAGTATTGCGTGCATGACCTTGACACTTGATGGTTTGTTGCTTGCAACTGCCAGTACAAAGGGAACACTGATTAGAATCTTCAACACAATGGACGGAACTCGTTTGCAAGAGGTAGAGTAAACAAAAAAAAATATATTGATTTCTCCTTTCTGAATTCTTTTCCTTTGCCTATGAGTGAATATTGATTCACTACATGATTTGTTTTGCGATCTCATAGATCAAAAGGGCATTGTCATATACTCACATTAAAGCTTTTGAAATGGGAAGCCCTATGAAACTTGTTGACAGAAACTTGTTACGAAGCATATGCCACTTTGATGATCATATGCTAATGCGTGCAATATGAGATTTAAAGCTGTTTTTATATACAGGTAAGAAGAGGAGTGGACAGAGCAGATATTTATAGCATTGCACTTTCACCAAATGTGCAGTGGCTGGCAGTATCAAGCGACAAAGGGACTGTTCATATTTTCTGTCTCAGAGTTAGGGTAGTGGGGGAGGATTCTCACTCCACTGAAAATGCAGCTCTCCTGACACAACAAACTTATTCTAATTCTCTGCAAGGCCTTGTTTCTCCAACAACTGGTACAAATCCCGGTTCATCATTGTCATTTATGAGAGGTAAGCAAAAGTGTAATGTCGCGTGAAATATGATGCTTAGAGTTGCTTTTGGAGCAGAAGAAGGGCACAAATAATTGTTCAATATTTTCTCATGAAAGGCCAAAGAAAAGATTATTTGATTCCTAAAAAGGTGAACTGGGTGGGGAACCATCTCTAAAAGCATTTTACTCAGACTGTGCATCATCGTTAATGTCATTCTTTTCCCTCTATTGCTGTGGGTTTCCTAAATTTTGAAATTGGAAGATAGGAGTGTGGAGTGCTCTGTAAAACTTTGAAAATTCATTGCCTCTTTCTTACCTTAACATGTAGGCTAATGTTGCAGGTGTTCTACCAAAGTATTTCAGCTCCGAGTGGTCATTTGCACAGTTCCATGTATCAGAAGTCACACAATTCTTCGCAGCATTTGGCAGTCACAACACTGTTGCCATCACCGGCATGGATGGAAGGTATAATAAACCCCTTCTGATTTCTCTTAAAGAATATTCACTTTGCTGGCTACCAATAATCTTAAAACAGAGCAATGTCAACAGTTTTGACTCATGTTTTCATGGGCTCACAGTTTCTACAGATGCAGCTTTGATCCTGTGAATGGAGGAGAGATGGTGCAGGTAGAACATATCTGCTTTCTAAAGACGGAAAACCGCCCGAGATAAGTTTAAGTTCATGCCTCAATTCATCCACTCTTCTCTAAGCCTCTGCATGTCTATGTAAATAGATTTGGTCAGACAGCATAAGATTTGATTCATTGAATATTTGCTACTTCGAGTGAAGGACCTGCATTATTGATTGGGAACTATGTACATAGCTACATATTAAGATTTATACATAGCGCAGTGCAAAACAGATGATGAAAAGTTAATACATAATTCTTTCATTTTTTTACAAGAATCATGAATGAATAAAACGCTGTTCTGTTATTACATACAAACCAATCTTGATTACAATCTCACACTACGAGAAAAAACTTATCAAATCAGAAAAATAGTACCAACCACCCCAAACTAGTGATCATGCCAAAACATTAGCCTAATGGAAAAGGACTACCCTAATGGGACAATGTAGGTGTATTATTTGGGTTTGAAAAAATAATTCTCTCATTTTTAGATCCAAATTTATGAGTCTCAAACAAATGACTATATTTTTTTAAATGTTATTAGACAATGTGGAGATGCGTATGTCTACCTAAGCAAATCGAATTAGTAGAGAGGTAATAAAAGTAAAGATAATAATAATTATTAAGATCCAGACACACACACAAACGGCTCACGCATACATAATGAGCTTTGAGATTAAACATAACTAAGAAAGCCCCCCGAAGATGCATTGTATTATCATATCATCACACGATTTATTATTATTAAACACCAAAGATAGACCTTCTTGAGAGAAAGAGATAGAAATTTCTAGATGATGTTCCTCTGCTTCTTGAAAACACGGACCTTCTCGTCGATCTCCTCGTTCATCTTGCTGGCAAACTCAAACATATGAGCTACAATAAACACAAGAATCCGTGAGAAGTTTGTTTTTACCTTAAAATCGAAATTAGAAACAAACTTTTTTTTTATTCATGTGCTTTTTTTTTTTACCTGGGATAGTATAGCCCAGAGGAATTTCACCGTTGCCAAAGGGACGGTTACTAAGGACTGAAGCTACGCGACGAACATCTAATTCGAATCCTCCCACTTCGGTTCCATCAAGAAACAGCGCCCTAGCTTCTTCTTGTTGTCGGGCAAAGTAGATATTAGTCTGCTCCTCGTGAGTATTGACAAAGACATGAGTTATCTCCCCACAATTAGAGAAATGTTCTTTCAAATCGCTCTCGACTTTGTCTACAGGAAGGGACGTGTCATATCCCCTAACCGAAACGCCAAACCAACTGCAGTTTAATTTTTGCAAAATATGTTACTCCCTCTGTTTCATTATAAATGTCACTCTAGAGCTGTGTACAAGGATTAAGGAAACAATTAATTTTACATATTTCCTATATAAAAACACAGTTACCCATACACCTAACCATATTTTAACCAATAGAAAAATAAATTACATAATAAAACTAATAAATTTTGCATTGAAAACCGAAAACTACACTTAACACTTAATATGAAACGAAGATAGTATTATCTAACAACAAACAATTTACAATGTCATTAAAAAGATAATTAATTAGACAAAAAAGAACTTACAATTTTGGGTCATTCAATACTTCGTCAAAGAGAGAGGATCTATAGCGTGATGACTCCTCGTCTTCCTGATCCGGTTCAACCTTAACAAGAGCCTTCCATCCTCCAATGTCAGTTCCATTAAGTTGCATGGCCTTCTCTTCTGCGCCATCTCCAAGAAGAATAACATAAGCACGTCTGTTAAAAAACAAAACACAAATAGACATATATCTTATGTTCAAGAAATTCACAACGCAAAAGTATATCAAAAGAGACACAAACCTGTAGAGATTAGGGCTATTATCAGGGTCTTTGCGAACAATAACCGTTCCGACTTCGCAACATGAATTGAAGTGATTAATCAATTCCTTCTTGATATCATCCTCATGCAGACAAGTGTTGTATCCCTCCACAGAAATCAAAACCCTAACGAAGATATCAACAATTAACAATAAACATACACGACAAGTATCCCCAAACATAAATAAATAAATAAAAGAATTAATTACCGGGGCTTGCCACTGCACTTGTCGGTAAAGGCTTTTTCAGCAGCCTCACTCTCGAACTCTTCCCCCCCGGATCTCAGGATTGCGTAGATGTCCATGGAGAAGAGGCAAGTAACCCTAAGAGCACATTGCAAGTATGTTATATTGTTTCGACAGATTAAAACAAAAAACAAAAATAATTAGAAAAGGAGAAACGGTTGCCCCTAAAGAGATGCTTCTTCCACATGTTATTTTATTATTGATTTGATTTATTTTTCTTATTTAAAATTTAATGGTTAACTAAACTATATGTAAATTAGTAATAGTTTATATATAGTTTAATTAACCATTAAATTTTAGAGTATGCACGGTTTTCTTGAAACAAGCAGCAGCTGCAGGGGTTTGTCTTGCAGAGATAGGTGAGAAGATGACTCAAACTTCGCTAGAAGTAAAGATAGTTTACTTTCAGTCTATTGGAGACACTTTGCACCAAAGCGAAAGAAACTGTAGTTGAAAAAGGAAATGAAGTGAATGTTTCAGAGGTCTTTCATGTATCTAAACCACCTTTGGCTCCCAAAGGACCATGTGCACAAGAAAAGAAGAGAGGAAACACCATGAGGAGCAAGAGCCCACTGATGCGTGAGCACCAAGGTGAATCAGAAGGTGTTTCTTTCGGGGACATGACAACCTTCCAATGGGACATGTTCCTGCAGAGCTTCCAGACACTTTTACAAGATGCATTGAGCAAAAGGCTAGTGCCAAGTTTAGGAAAATAATTTTTTTTTTGAAAAAAGAGACAAAGAAAAGCAAAATTTAACCAAAGGGATATGAAATCTCAAAAAGGTTAAAACAAATCTCAAAATGAAATATACTTTGTACTGGTTTGTTCTCAACAAACTGGAAAAAAATGCATACAGGTTTCCTTTGTTTGAAACCCACACCTTCCCGTTTTCCTTTTTTCTTATCTTTTTGACTTCTCATAAAGAAGGAAACACTCACCCTCTCATCTGATGACACGTGTTATTCGCTCCGTGACTTATCACTTTCCTTGCTTAATCGTCAAGCAAACGTAAAGAGACCGGCGAGGGCCACAACTTGCGAATCTTTAAAATGGCAAGAAAGACACATTAGTTTTCTATTAAAAGATGGAATCAAAAGCTTTCGTCTCTGTTACGTTCTTAATCGTGACCATTCTTCTCTGTAGAACAATTCAATCAAGGAGTTGCAGATCAGAACAGAAAAACATGAGGAGGACGGTGATGGTAGGAGGCGTTCATGATATTCCAGGAAACCAGAACAGTGGAGAGATCGAGAGTCTTGCTCGATTCGCTATTCAAGAACATAACAACAAAGAGGTTTTTTCAATTCCTCTGTTTTCTTGTTATGGATTCCATTTGTGACAAGAATTTTTGTCTGATTAGGTTTTTTTTTTTTTTTTGTTGTCTTGTCGGGTAAGTCCAGAACAAGGTTCTTGAGTTCAACAAGATAGTTAAAGCAAGACAAGAGATAGTTGCAGGACTCTTGTACTACTTAACTCTAGAAGCAAATGAAGGTGGGCAGGTGAAGAACTTCGAAGCCAAAGTTTGGGTGAAACCATGGATGAACTTCAAGCAGTTAGTGGAGTTTAAAGGATAATCTTCTTGAACATTCACTTGGTCAAACGGTAATAATCTAAGTGTTTCTGATGTAAATTATATGAAATAAATTAAGTCTGAGAGATAGCTGGTTTCAGACCAGTGTGTTTAAGACAAGACCTGAAGTTAATGTAATCTAAGAACATGTTCTGTTTTATTCTGTTAATCATAATAAAACCAAAAAATGGATTTTTAGCAAAATACTTCCTTCCTCTCAACTCAAGATCCTAAAAAGGCACCTGAGACGATGCAAGATGAGAATGAGATCAAAAGACATGACACCAATCACATCTTTCAAACCTTAGACGATGACGCTTCAGACACAAATGTTGCCGTCACTTATAGTAAACACTATAAACCAAACACATGTCCACCATGAAAAAAATCTATAACTTCCATGAAGATTGGATATTAGGACATCCAGCTAAATACATTTTAAATAAAACAAGAAACTGCAAAATAAACTATCCATGTGAATAGTAAAAATGGCAAAAAAAAATCGCGCATAAGACACACCACTAGTACTTGTTATTTTTTCTTCATTCTCATCCCCTATTGTATCATGTTATTCTGAACATTAATTACCATTAAATTTCTGTATAAAATCATTTGTAATGTAATTATGTAACTGATGTAATCAGGAATATATGCAACTCAAGTTAAATTCTACAGGTACTTTACATGTACTGGCTGTTCTCAAGTGCCAGACTCACTTGTTCACAAGATACCAACTAAACCAACTCCTAGGGAAAACAAAAGAAGTAGCTATTCAATATGAAATAATGCATATAGAATGCATGCCGTTTTCTATTTTGGAAACCTACATCCTGCCGTTTGTTTATGTTTTTCTTTATCTCTTTGACATCTCATAAAGAGGGAATCACTCACCCTCTTAGATGATGACAGGTGTCATGCGATTTGTCACTTTCCTTGTTTAATCGTCAAGCAACAACATGAAGAGAAAGGCGAGGCCACAACTTGTGAATCTTACATGGAACCAAAACCTTTCGTCTCTGTTACATTCTTCATCGTAACCCTTCTTCTCTGTGGAGCAATTCGATCAGGTATCTGCAGATCAGAAGAGAAAAAGATGGAGGAGATAAAAGAAGGAGGCATTCATGATATTCAAGGATACCCGAGCAGTGAAGAGGTCGAGAGTCTCGCTCGATTTGCTATTCAAAAATATAACAACAAAGAGGTTTTTTCACTTCCTCTGTTTTTTTTTCTTTTGTTATGTGTCTTGCTTGACAAGAATCTTTGTCTGATTTAGTTTTTTCTTTTTCCTTACAGAACAAGGTTCTTGAGTTCAACAAGATTGTTAGAGCAAGAGAACAAGTAGTTGCAGGAACCATGTACTACTTAACTCTAGAAGCAAATGAAGATGGTCAGATGAAGAACTTCGAAGCCAAAATTTGGGTGCAGCCATGGATGAACTTCAAGCAGTTAGAGGAGTTTAAAGAATCATCTTCTTGAACATTCACTTGTTCAAAGCGTAATAACCTAAACGTTTCTGTTATAAATTATATGAAATAATTAAGTCTGAGATAGCTTTGTGTGCTTAACATAAAACCTGAAGTTAATGTAATCAAGAACTTATTCTGTTTTATTCTACTTATGTATATTGTCTTTTTGTTCGTTATTTCAATGACCAAGAAACAAGACCATAAGCAAAGGCATGTAGTAGATTACATATCGGAAGGCACACGTTTATACAGATCAGAAGGTAACCTAGGCGTAGCCACAGCTTGAACAGGAACACGCATGTAAGTAACTAGTCCAGGATTTTCAGACAAGTCAATCTCCTCTGGTTTAGTACCTTGAGGTGGTGTCCAAACGAAATGGTGAAGCAAATGACTCATCATCGAAGTCACAAGATTGATACCAAGTTGTGCACCGGGACAAACCCTTCTTCCTGCTCCAAAAGGAAGCAACCTAAAATCATGACCTTTCATGTCAACATCTTCTTCCAAGAACCTCTCTGGTCTAAACTCTAACGGGTTTTTCCACACGGTAGGGTCTCTAGCCACTGCCCAAACGTTCACATGGATGTTTGATCCTTTGGGAATGTCGTAGCCTCCTATGTTGACGGAGGCGTTGGATCGGTGTGGAAGCATTAGAGGCGTTGGAGGGTGGAGAAGTCTGGTATTGTAAGGTTAATGGTGTTTAGAGATTTGATTAAGGAGTTTAATGAGAGGTTAGAAATTTTAAGGTTTACATTTGAGTCACGTTTCTCAGTTTCGTAGTCAAGAAATGTAAATAATCATTACATGAGGAAAAAACAGTTGGTTCTTACTTCAGTACTTGTGATATAACCTAGAAGTGATCAATTTACTTACGAGACAAGTAATAATGATCTATCAGTTTTGTAAACTGCAGTGTGGGAAAACGATTTTCAGATAACACACCAATATAATAATTCAAATGTTTTCACAAACATACAAGTTGTTGAGATACTACAAAAAATGATTCCATTACAATAAATGAAATCTTAAGCAGAATCTATAAAGTTTCTACACACACCTCTCTTGTATAAAGTATATACAATTTGCTACAATCTCAAAACTACGCCGTTTTCAACAACTTGAAATTACTCCAACTCTATTTATTTGATGGCTAGCAACATTGTTCCTAGAGCAAGAAATATAAAAATTTGAAAATCACCAAAACTGATATATAGAATTTGTAACCATTAGAGTTTTATGTATTGATCACATACATGAAAAGAAAATTTCAAAAAAAATAAATTTAGGGGTTCAAAATGACATTTTAGTGTTCCCCACTCTCGCTTGAGCGAGTGAACAACACAGCTTACCCTTATGTGATTCTCTATCTTTTGGTTTTAACGTGTCTCAACATTTTTCGAAAAAACCAGCGAGTGAAGACACAAAACCAATAATATCTATGCCGCTGGTTTAGTAAATGATTTAGGTTTTGATAACCCGGTTTAGTTGTTGAATCAAAATGTAAAACCAGAACCGTTCTTTCTTCTTTTTCTTCGTTCACTGTATCAAACGAACAGCTCCTTCTGATTAGTCATCATCATCACACAGTTACAAACGCAAGCAACATGAAACCCTTCGCCACGAATCGCGATCATCTCAAAAGCAAAATCCCCACCACTCTCATCAAGATCTCCGCCATACTTCTCGCCACCGTCTCCAAACATAACAACTGTTATCAACAATTGCTTATCAGTCAATTGTTGATCTCCGCCATACTTTATGTGTTGTGCTCGCGTTAACTCTCACTGATTGATTACTATCATATCCCAAACGAATTAAAAAGATATATTTAAATATTATTTTTTTTTTTAAATAAATTTCAAATAACAATGTAAAATAAAAATGAAACATTTATAAAGTTTAAAAAAACTATTTAAAAGGAAATATAAGTATATTGTGTATCAGAATATCAATAATACAGATCATTCTCCTAATAGTCTCTCGTGTTCTTATTTGAACTGACCTAAACCTGAACTATGAGTAAGGCTGTACTGAACCCAATTTTGCTCTCATTCTGTGTTCTGTATTTTTAATAACGAAACAAGTTCGTTATGTTAAACATGCAGCAGAGTATGCATCTACCAGGTCGTCCTGAACCTACTAATTTCTCAGAAAAACATGAATCAAATTTTGAAACTTGCATGATGGCATCAGATTAACACTTAATTTTTGCTTTACCAACTACATAACAGAACTACCATAACAAAAATCGAAGCAGCTCCAAGCCAGAACCAAGGCACGAGACACGAAAACTAGCATAAAGAAAACTAGAATGTCAGGGCATATATAAGAAACTCCCATGTTATTCATTTACAAACGAGTAAAATCCACTATAATGGTATGTAGTAGTTGCATATTAATACCAAATGCAGTTATTTACATAAGCTTATAGCTAGTTAGAGATCAAAATGGAATACTAAGTTACTCTAATAAGTCAAAACCTCTAAATAGAACTTTTGAAGGAGGGGAAGTAATAATTCAAGCTTACAAGTACCAAAAATAAGTGACTCTTCTCCTAACTTTGCCTCAAACAAAAAAAAAAGCCATCTAGTTAACGTCGTGAAACGTTATCCACATTTTCACTACAAAAAACCACAACCACCACTGATGATTCCTTCTCTTGATCAGCCTTAACTTTCCCGGTTTCAACATCCTCATCAGCTTCATCGATTTTAGGCATGATGGAGAGACCATTATTGCCACTACAACATTTAACGGCTTCTAAAGTCGTGTTATCTTGAAGGCATATTGCTTCACCATCATCATCTACGTGTTTGCCCCATAACACGGCGTAGACTCCCATTGTCAAAACAACTACTCCAATAACCCTGAAATATAAATTCCGATTTAAAGTTAATTAACATAGTAGAAAAAAAAAATACTAAACTAGTATATATCATAATGAACCAAATGTTTTTAACGTACCCTCCAAGGTAGATCCCTTGGCCGAGAACGAAGAAACTCATTACGGAGACAATGACAACGACAAGAGGGTTAAAAGCAGTGACAAAGACAGGCCCCTTTCGTTGCATCATAAGTCCTTGAATGTAGTAAGCTATGCTCGATGACATTATTCCCTGTGAACCAATCAAAACATATTAGTATCAACTTCATCCATAATTTGTGAATGGATCTTTGGGTTACATATAAAAAAAAATGTTTTAAAATTTTAAGGAACGGACCGCATATGCAGACGCGAGAAGGTTCATGTCAAAACCAATGTTCAGAGCCGAAGGATTGTGTTCCATTACGAAGGTTAGGGCTAAAGATTGCAACGTTCCCACGAAACAGACCATGGTTGATAAAGAGAGGTGAGCTGAGTATTTCTTCAAAGTCGATGCCTAACCAAAAAAACGTATAATCTTGTCAGTTAATCAATATTTTTTTTATATCCTACAGATAAATGTATGAACTAGAAGCTGTGAGAATTTTAATCAAATCATGTTTTTCTCTTCATAATATTTCGTGTTTCTATTTGTACTTACATATTTTGGATTAGTTAGTGTAATAACTAAAAATAAATAATGCAACATATATAATATTAAGATCTTCAGAAATAATATGGAAATAAAATATACTTTAATAGATTAATCTACACAATTTACCTTATTCATAGACCAATCTAAGCGTTTACACAATGTTAAGACTAGAAATTCCACGAAACTACAGTATTAACACACTAACTACGTTTTTAGACTGGATCAATAAATGATACCTGAAGAACGAAAAATGAAGCCCATGAGAGGGAGGCGAGGAGGAGGAAGACTGTGGCTTTGAGATAATCACCGGCGAGCGGCGGAGAGGCGGTGGTGAACTGAGATCGGAAGAAATTGATGAAAGGACCTTTGTATAATATCATCAATATGGATCCAACCACTGTCACTAATGTCCCCACCACTTTTACTTGGCATCTTACTTTTCTAATCTCCACTTTTTCCATCCTTTTTAATATCCAGATATTTACATAAAAATACATCAATATTTCATAATTTATACATATACGTACGTACGTATAAATAAATTTTTGCTTTTTTTGCGAACGTATTAATGTATTTACCTGAAAAGAGTGGCGAGAATAAAGACAAGAGCGGGCATGATGTTACTGACGACCGTGGAAAACGTCGGAGAAGTGAGTTTCAGACCGATGTAGTATAGGTTCTGATCAATCACTGGCCTGTGGATAACATCATGCTAGTATTAACCATTTAGCCTTGTAGAGTAAAACTTATATAAGTTAATATTGTTGGGACTATAATAAAATTTTATTTTTTTATTAATTTAGAAAGATATTAATTTATCGATATACTAACTGAACTAAAAAATTCGATTATATTATTTTATAGAGATATTTAGTATATATTAATTTATCGAATATTAATTTATAGAGGTTCTCGTGTAGTTTTAACAATTTTCATACAATCAACAAGACAAAAAAAAGTTTAGGAAATGGATTTAGAAGACTAACCCGAGAAAAGCAAGAACAAATATTTGCATGAATATTGGGAACGTCATCTTTGACCTCACTTTCCTACAAATCCACCACGCATAAATATTACAAAACGCGTAAAAAACATTAAGAACATATTCGTTTTTTGTATTTTGATACAATATCTGCCATCTAGATACAATAAACGAACAGAGTCTAGAACTAGATGAACTTCTTTCTCTTTGTACCTTTCGGAGAGAAATGCAAAAGGTGCGATCACGGCTGTGGCAAAAGCGTTGCGGTATGCAACAAGAACGTAATGGCTCATACCACGGTCAAGAACGGTTTTAGTGATGAGGTTCATACCGGCGTAACCGAACTGAAGACAAACCATTGCAAAGTATGGTTTAGCTGATTCTGACATTCTTAATCCCATATCTCAACTCGTTAGGACAAATAAGTTAGAAACAGAGAGGAGAGAAACACTTGGAGAATGTGCTTTTCCCTGATAACCAAGTGATGAGAGGTTCTTTGTATTTATATTCGGATTTGTTATGTCTTCTCTGCTTTCTTCCTTTAGTTTTTTTTTCTTTTCTGTACTTTGTTATTACAATTTATTTAATTTTTTTATAATGACGTTGGCGTTAACATTTGGATGTCATGAATTCATTATCCTTAAAGTAAGTGGATAGAACGTTTTATATGTAAATATTCGGTTTATATGGCTTTATGAAACCAGTCATGATATTAGGTAAATAAAACTTGTGGCTACTAAATGTCGAGATTAATAGTGTGATTGACGTGGCAC